CTGGGTGTTTGCTGAGGTCCCTGGGCAGCAGGGCTGGCACATCCACGTTGGGCTCTGAGAAAGGGGGGGACCTGGTGAAATAGGGGGACCCCTCTCAGTGGGAACAGCCTCCACCCCCACCAGCAACGCCCAGTCCAAGCCGTCAGATCTGGAGCCCGGCGGCTCTCCCAGTCCTGGCCCAGCCCCCTTCCTGCCCAGCTCGGCACACCTTTGGGGACCTGTCAGTCTCCCCATCACTGACTGGGAAGCCGCTTCCTTACACGGCCCAGCGACCCTCACTCCGGTCCACCCTCCCTTCCAGCTGCTCTCCCATCGCCTGCTCTGCTCCAACAGGCCAGCACCCTGTGGCCTTCGCCCCGGCTGTTCCCTCCACTCAGAACTCTTCCCCACAGAGCCCCTCCCTCCTCAGGCCTCTGCTCCTCTCCCTCTCAGGGCGGCCTTGAGCTCCTTCAAACTGTAATGCGCCCCACGACACACACTCCCTCCCCGTCGTCCTACCTCATTTCCTGCACCCTCTGTGGCCTGGCATTGCATCTGTGCACCCCTGTGTGCCCCTGTCTGCCTCCCGACCAGCGAGAGCAGACCTCGCCTTCACATCCTGGGAGCCAGCACCTGGCACTAGTACGTTTTGTTAACTGGATACGGAGTCCAGAATCCAGCCTTTGTCCGGCTCTCAGCACGTGAAGGTCAAGCCGCCTGGTCCATGCACAGACCCTGAGTGGGCAGAGGTGGGGAGGGTGCAGACTCCAGGTCCAAGCTGGAGAGATACGGGCCTCGGGGCCAGGCCGCCTTTGAGCCTGGGAAGTAGGTGACCTCACCAGGGAGAGAGGGCACTCAGAAAGGAGGCCCTGGGGCACCCCAACATTTGGAGGTGAGGCAGGCAGAGGCTGAGGGCCCAGCACAGGCAGGTGTTGGGGGGAGGGGCACCGTTAGGCAGTGGCCACTTCACGTGAGGACGGGAACACCTCCAGGGTTGGTAGCATGGCCCAGCGGGTGGGCGAGGGCTGGCAGGTCACCCTCCCCTCAGGAAACACAGCGTTGCAAAGCTTCCTCTTCTGTTCTCTCGGAAGGGGCATGGAGAGGCCAGACAGTTATCACGCCCACTTGCCATATGTGGGAACTGAGGCTCAGAGGGTAAAGAACGCACGGGCCCTGTGCAGTGAGCTGCAGAGTCGGGGGTGAGCAGAGGCCAGGGCAAAGGGCAGGGGCTGGGAGGGGGGATTCCCTCCCCTCCCCCCCCAGGTGGTCCCTGAGGCTAGAACTTGATGGGTTGGATCAGGGTGTCCCCTGAGACCCCGCCCCGCCCCTCTAGGCAGTGACTCTTGTTTGGTGAGGCCTGGATGCCCCCAGACAGCAGTGCACCCCCCAGGGACACAGGGAGGAGGGGCCTCAAATGCAACAGGGCACCAGGCCGTGCTGAGGGCTCTAAGTGTGTCTCCCGGTTGGATGCCGCCTCCACATCACGATGGCTTTGAGAAGCCATCACACAAGAGGCCAGACCTTGGCACAGCCTGGAGGGCTCAGCCAGGTCCTTCCCGCACCCAGGTCCCTCTCTGCCTCTCTCTCCTTGCGTGATCTTAGCCTCACTTTCCCCATCTGTAAAAGGGGAGCAATGCTAACACCTACCTCCTAAGGCCACTTTACAAGGACAAGATGAGAGAATGTGTATCATGCTTGTCACCGTGCTTGGAACAGAGAAATCATTCAATAAATGGTACCTGCTACCACTATTATCAATGATGATCATTGCTGCCCATTATAAATCCATCTCAATTCATCCTTCATCTCTTTATGCTCTTGCAGATTTTTATAGCACGAGGGGACCCACCCTCTGGCCTCTGGGCTGAGGTAGAAGAGGGTAACAAGGCTGGGACCCCCTTGGCCACCCTGGCCCAGCAGCGAACCTGCCCTGTGTCCTGGGGTCTCCCCGGCTGGAGCTGTGCCTCCAGAACGGGGACCCTGAGCACAGAGGCTGGAGTGCTAACAGTGACGGTGACGAGTCGAGCATTTACTGAGCACGTACTATGCACCCGGGACTCCGGCTGAGAGCGCCAACCAGTGGCCAGGCAGGAGGCTGAGGGCACGATTGCCCCCTCCTGCCTGGGTCCTGCTCCGTGCCAGCTTCTCAGGCCGGCTGGGCACCCCTGGGTCATGGATACCTGCCAAGGGGGGTTGCTGGGAGGGCAGGGCTCCTGGCAGGTCTGGCGCCCCGAGCTGTGTATGTGCCTCAGGCATCCCCAGAGAGAGTCCTGTGGGCCCTGGGTGGGGGCCCCCTCCAGCCAGCCATCCCCAGGACCCCAGCACTCACTGTGCCTTGGTTACGGGGTGAATAATTCAGGCCACTGAGTGTCGGTCATGAAATATTAAACAGACTCTTACTGACGCACCAGCATTCGAATGCGTGTGTGGGGGCGACGCTGGCACTGGGGCGTGGAGGCCAGTGGCCTCAGGCCAGTGTGTGGCTGAGGTGAGGCATGGGTCTCTGTCGCCGTGTGTGCTGTGTCGGCTCGTGGGCACCACTCTACCCTTGACGCTGTGGGGTGTCAGAGGGCAGCCAGGCATGGCCCCTGCTCCTCCCCAGATGTGTGAAGTGTTGGCTCAGCATCAGCCCCAGCCAGTGGCAGCTGTGTGTCTAGGTCGGACGGCCCACACCAGGAGGAAGGAGTGCCCTGGGGTCAGGGGTCAGGGAAGTGGACAGAGGCCAGGGTTTTAGGGACAGGGAGAAAGACATCAGCTGGGCGTCGGTGGGGGGAGTGAGAGGGAGGGGCCAAGTCATGTTGGCAGTGACAAGAGGGGGAGTGAGTGGGCAGATGGAAGAAGAGTAGGCGGCCTGGTGCCTGTGTGAATGGACAGAGGGGCTGGGATTGGACCAGGGAGGGAGGGCGTGGATGGAGGGGTGGAGCGTGGGTTTGATGAAGTGAGCGGATAGATGGGTGGATTCGCAGGAAGAACCGCACTTCCTGGGCACAGCGTACGAGGGCACAGCCCCTACCCTGAGCTGAGAATCACTGGGGCTGTTGGTGGGCAGCTCCTGGGTCTGGGCCTAGATCAGTGATGGCGAACCTATGACACGCGAACTCATTTTTTTGGTTGATTTTTCTTTGTTAAATGGCATTTAAATATATATCAAAAATATAAGCCTTTGTTTTACTATGGTTGCAAATATCAAAAAATTTCTATATGTGACACAGCACCAGAGTTAAGTTAGGGTTTTTCAAAATGCTGACAGGCCGAGCTCAAAAGGTTCGCCATCACTGGCCTAGATTGTGGTTCCACCTAGTGCCCAACTCTGGTAACTGCATCCTGGGCTGTCCATGACCCACGGTGAAGTCAGGAAAAGTGAGGATCAGCCAGCGGCCCTGCCAGCTCCCCTGTTCCCAGCGGCACTCCAGCTTGTGGGGCGAGTTCCCTGTCCCCCAGTAAGGACCCTCTGTGGGAGCTGAGGGGCAGTGACAGGTGCAGGCGAGGGGATGCCCTCTCTCCACTCCCTGTGTGCCTACTGTGTGCCAGGTGCCGCATGGCACAGACAGGTGTGCGCTCACTCACACGCCACGTGCAGCTGTGTGGCCTCGGGCCTGTCACAGCCTCTGAGCCCCAGCTGCCCCTCTGCCGCTGGGAATGCCTCGGACCGCAGGGCGTCCAGCGAGGGCCTGCCTGCTGACTTCACAGCACAGCCACGGGGAGGGCTCAGGGACGGTGGCCATCCGGAGGGTTGCCAGGCTAACAACCAGGATATCCAAACGAATTTTCATTTCAGATGAACAACAAGCCACATTTTAGTATAAGTATACCTTATACAATATTTTGGATACACTTATAATTTTTATTTTTAAATATTTTTTATTAATTTCAGAGAGGAAGGGAGAGGAAGAGAGATAAGAACATCAATGATGTGAGAGAATCATCAATTGGCTGCCTCCTGCATGCCCTCTACTGGGGATCGAGCCCACAACCCAGGCATGTGCCCTGACCAGGAATCAAACCTGGGACCCTTCACTCCACAGGCCGACGCTCTATCCACTGAGCCAAACCAGCCAGGGCCGTAAATGATTTGTGGTTTATCTGATATTCAGACTTAACTGGGCATTCTGTGTTTTACCTGGCAACCCTACCTTTCTGTTCTCTGGGAACTCAACCTTCTGAGGGAGGCAGAGGCCAAAAGCAGTTATGTTCAACCAGGCAAGACAGGTGTCCCCGGAGTGGGGCCAGGGCAGTATGGGCACAGGGGTGAGAAAGGCCTGCCCTGCCTGGGAGAATCAAGGCAGGCCTCATGGAGGAGGGATTTGCCCTGAGTCTTAAAGAGCAAGGAGGAGATGCCCTAGCCAGTTTGGCTCAGTGGATAGAGCATCGGCCTGTGGACTCAAGGGTCCCAGGTTCGATTCCGGCCAAGGGCATGTACCTTGGTTGCGGGCACATACCCAGTGGGGAGTGTGCAGGAGGCAGCTGATCGGTGTTTCTCTCTCATCGATGTTTCTAACTCTCTATCCCTCTCCCTTTCTCTTTGTAAAAAATAAATAAAATATTTTTTTTTTTAAAAAGAGCAAGGAGGAGGGAAGGACATTCTGTAGGAGAGCAGGCAGTAGGTGTGGGACTTACAGGGACAGAGGGTCCGTGTGGCTGGTAGGGAGGGAGAGGCCAGGCCAGGCCTTGGTAAGGGGTGGGCTATTCACGGAGGGCAGGGCCTGGCTCAGTCCCAGGTGTATTTTAGGAAGGAAGGGCTGGGGGAGGAGGGGCAAGCCAGAGGGGCCCTGAAGGGGGCTGGCACAGGTCTGAGTCCAGAGGGAGACAGGAACAGCGGGGCCTAGTGACTAGGCCCCCTGCGACCCACCCTGCCAGCCCTCCAGGGTCCCCGGAAGGGACGAGGGTCTTTAGAAGGCCTCGCAGGGGCGGGTGCTGAGAGCCTCGGTGGGTGTTTCCTGTTCGCAGGGGAGTGAATGCCCAAACCAAGAACGGTGCCACGCCCCTGTACCTGGCGTGCCAGGAGGGCCACCTGGAGGTGACGCAGTACCTGGTGCAGGAGTGCGGCGCGGACCCGCACACGAGCGCCCACGACGGCAT